CCACCATCTCTCTTTCCTATAAAATACTCTTATCTGATCTCCCCAATTCAACTATTTCCTCCTATGGTCTATCTTCACTTCAGTAGTCAACTTGATCCTGATAAAACCTAATTTACGTACCTCACTTCTCTCTTTAAACTACTTCAATAGCTTTACTTCTCATTTAGAGTTTCATTCTAGGTCTTTAATACACGTTTAAGGCAATCCATAATGACTCTCTTCCTCTCTCAGCTCCAGTCAGCCACGAAAGCCTTTTTGAGTTTCTTAAATACCTCAGACATGTTTCTAGATCAGACCCTTTGCACTGGATGATCTCTGTTTGCAAGTCTCTTCTACCAGATCTTGCTGTACAGCTTGCTCTCTCACCTCTTTCAAGTCTTTGTTCAAGTGTTACCTTCACAGTAAGTGTACCCGGACTACCTTATTTAAATACACAGTATCCAATGTCAATCCTACCGAAATTAATCTACAAATGCAACACAATTCAGATTAAACTATCAGAGATATTTGTCACAGAGATAGAAAAAAATCATAAAATTTGTCTGGAATCATTAAAGGCCCCCAATCACCAAAGCAATACTGATAAAAAAAAAAAGGTAGGAGGCATCTTAGTTCCTGACCTCAAAATATATTAAAAAGCTGTGATAATCAAAACAACATGGTGTTTGCACAAAAACAGGCAGGTCGACCAATAGAACAGAATTGAGAACCAAGAAGTAAACGTGAAAATATATAGCCAACTGAGCTTTGACAAAGGGCACAAGACAATCCAACAGGGAAAAGAAAATCTCTTCAGGAAATGGTGCTGGAAAAACTGGATATTTACCTGCAGAAAAATGAAATTAGATGCGCATCTAGCCAACTGAGCTTTGACAAAGGGCACAAGACAATCCAACAGGGAAAAGAAAATCTCTTCAGGAAATGGTGCTGGAAAAACTGGATATTTACCTGCAGAAAAATGAAATTAGATGCGCATCTCTCACCATTAATAAAAATCAACTTAAAATGGATCAAGGATCTAAACACAAAACCTCAAACTATAAAACTACCAGTGAAGGGACCAGCAGTTGGCGTAATGGCTATGTCGCTTGATTCCCATGTAGTCGACCGCAGTTTGAGTCCCAAACCCAGTGGCTTAAACTCACGCTGGGCATGTGTGCATGCGTGCCTAAGATCCTGAGAGGAGAATGGAGGAGAAGGGATTGCAGCGTGGCCATACTCCCTGTGATTTCTTGCTTTCTGTCTCTGTCTCTCTCTGTCTTCCTGGCAAGTGCATGCGCCCTATAGAAAAACTCTCAAAAAAAGAAAAGAAAAAAAAAAACTACAATTGGAAGACATGGAACAAATTCTTAGAGACATTAGAGTACACAAAGACTTCTTAAATAAGACGCCCAAAGCACAAGCAATAACCCCAAAAATAGACAAGTGGGAACATATCAAGATAAAAAGTTTCTGTACAGCTAAAGGAACAATAATTTGGAGTGAGAATACAAGCCTAAGAGTAGAAGAAAATATATGCAACCTTTGCCACAGACAAGGGACTGATAACCAGGATATACAGAGAATTCAAGTAGTTTACCCCCACAAAAAAATAATCAATGAAATTAAAAGATGGGCAAATGAGCTGAACAGCCAATTCTCCAAGGAAGACATTCAAATGGCCATAAAGCATTTGAAAATATGCTCAACATCACTTGTTATAAGGGAAATGCAAATAAAAATCACAATGAGATACCACTTAACTCTAGTCAGAATGATTAAGATTAAAAAAATAAAGAATGATAGCTGTTGGAGATCAGCAGGTGGTGTGGTGGTTAAGGGCCCTGGACTCCCACATAGCCGACTGTAGTTCACTTTCTCACTCTCTCTCTCTTATCAAATTGAAATAAATAAATAAATAAAGTTGAAAAAAATCATTCTTTTTTTAAAACCTCTCTTTTTTATTACTTTATTTAACTTGATTTATTATTATTATTATTATTACTATTATTTTCACATGAGTTTTGCCAGAGAAAGACTGAGAGAGAGAGAGAGAGAAAGAGAGAAAGGAAGCCGCCAGGTCCGGGACTCGAACTATGGTCAGCCTTAACCACCACACCACTTGCTGGCCCCAATAAATAATTCTTTAAAAAAAAGAATGGTAGGTGTTGATGAGGCTGTGGTGAAAAGGGGACCCTCCTATACTGTTGGTTTGAATGTAAATTAGAACAACCACTGTGAGAACAATATGGCGATTTTTCAGAAACCTAGAAATAGAACTACCCTATGATTCAGTAATTCCACTCTTAAGTATCTCTCAGAGGAGAGGAAAACCCTCAGCCAGAAAAACACTTGCACATCCATGTTTATTGAAGCATTATTCACAATTGGACATCAAATCAATCCAAATGTCCAAGAACAGATGAGTAGACTGAAAAAATGTGCCACATGTACTCTACAGAATACTATTTAGCCATAAAAAAAAAAAGAGACCCTGACATTTGATACAAAGTGGACAAATATAGAAAATTTAATGCTAAATGAAGCAAACAAGATTATGAAATACAGGTGTTATATATCCCTGCTTAATATATATGGAATGCGTTGTATAGCAGAAGCAGAAAGATTGGAAGATATAGTAGCAGGGAGGGCAAGTATGGATACCAGAGACATATAGGAGAGGGTAGCGATAGAGAGTGGGTAAAAGGGGTGTGAGGGAGGGGATCAAGGAAAAAGCAGACACATTTAATAGATACAAAAATGAAAAGCTATCTGCTGATAATAATGCATATAGTAATGCCTTTAACTTGAGTAATATGCACTATATTCATGCTAGGATAAAACCATGTATACTGTAAAAATGTACAATGATTAAATGTAAATTCAGGGGAATATTGTAAAATAAATAAATAAATATACAGTAACTATCCCCAGAATTTCCCACCTCTTTATCATGCTTTATTTTTCTCCATTGCTCTTATCACCCTCTAACATTCATCATATACTTTGTTAACTTATTTTGGTCATTATCCAATTCTCTTCCACTGTCAAAATGTGAGATTCATGAGGGCAAGGATTTTTGTTCGTGTGGTTCACTGCTGTGTTCCCAATGTTCATAATAGAATCTGGCTTGTGGCAGGTACTCAAAATTTTTTGAAAGAATGACAAAGAAGAGTTACTAAGAAAAATCTTAAGAGAGGGGCTTCATTTTATATTTACAAAGTATGTTTAAGAAGGAGTGTCTGGTTAGAGCAGAGAGGCATGTAAGAGAGACTTAGACAGATAAGAAGGTAAGAACGTTGGAGGGTTTTGAATGCCTAGAATATAGCAGGCATTCAACACATATTGGATGAAACAATGAACAGACAAATAAATGAGTGGTCTTATTATGTTGTGTAAATGATCTCAGAGTCCTGTGAAGTAGTCTGACCAAGATGAATTGTGAAGAGCTAACTCCCTGAAATTTTACCTTTTTTTCATGGAAAAAATTCTATTAAGAAATAAAATATCTGGAAAAGCCGAAGTGCTCTATGCTATGCCTGAAGTGGCCACTAGGGAATGCCCAAATCCATAATGCTGAACTGTTAAGAATGAAATTGGGTTCCCCCATCAACACCTGCCCAGGAGCCCCAATCCCCTGACTGCTACTTTAATAGCTAGCCAGGGGAGAGAGATGTTTTCCAACATTGTTTTCTCTACCTGCTCTATTCTCTTTTCCCTTCCCCAGTGCTAAGTACAGTACTGGACATATGGTTAGTGTACTTGGCATTGAAGACCCTTCAGAGTGATGTTTGATTTCTACCACCTCTCCTAACAACTATACTGGAGCGTTCTTTCTCTTAGTAAATACTCCTTCTTGTCCCACTTTTTTTTTCTCTTGCTCTTTCCTCTGCCTATTATCACCTATCTAATACGTATGTGTCCCTTTAAGGCCCAGCAGGAAAGATACCTCCTCCATCAGACTGCCACAATTACCATTGTTCTTACTGCCCATTGCTTTTCTGAAATCCTGGGGGTTCTCATCACCTGTCGCAGTCAGGAGTCACTTGGCAAATACTGATTCAGACATTGTCCTGATCTAAGCACTTCATTCTGAAGTTCCTTGTAAAATGAGAAATCTACCATTTCTGGACTGTAAGGAAGGCAAGGGACAGAGGTCAAAAATGAACTTGAGAAATGAACAAAAAGTGAAGTATGGTCTTACAGGACTAGTAAGAAACAGCCTGTTCTTTAGAGGACTCTCTAAAATAGAGGGACAGCCCGGCTGACCCTAGAAGAAAAGATTCTATCTCCAGCTGTCTATGCCCTGCTAGTGTCACCTTCTCCCAGGCAGGGCCCCCACTCTTCCCCAAAGGCTTCCTTCTACCTACTACCTTTATTTATCCTAGTCAAACTACTTGACTGCTAGGATATGGGAAATACTAATAGATGCCTGAGGGCTTTTTCCCTTTTAGCCTCTCTCCACCTGCTGCACTCTGCACTTTGTTCTCTGTACATAGAATACATTGAACATGACATTGTGCCACAGAGAGCATATACCAGAGATGTATCCTGGGGCTGACTGTGGTGCAAGTCTCAGACCTGGTGGCTTGCTTTCTCACTTTCTTCTCCCTTACTCTCTCTCTTTCTCTGGTCAAATTTTAAAAATAATAATAAATAAAATTAAATAACTCTTTTAAAAAAAAGAAAATCAGAATTTACTTTTAACCTACAGAACCACTCTCTGAGAAGATATTCTTATCACAATCATAAAGACAAGGAAACTGAGATTCAGGAAAGCAAAGGGACTTCACCCTATAACAGTCAGGAAGTAGTACAATAGTACAAACAGGATTTGAAAGCATATATCAATAATTGCAGTGAACTAGCCTCTTTCTGCTAAACCGTGCTATTTTTTCTACATTGTCTGCAGGCTGTCTCCTGTGTTAAGTCTCAGCACAGGGATGGGAATCGGGTATTCAGTTTCTTTGCTTAGTTCTCTTCCTGGCCGATAGGCCCCAAAACAGACATTTGCTACTTACATTGTAAGATGTGTGATGCCATCAACGCTGTACAGTTGTCACTGCATGGGAGCCTTCCTAGAGCCAAATCCTTCTTTATTTGGAGAGTAAAAAGGTACCTGCAAAGAAATTGGGGAAAATCTCTGAAGAAAGAAACAGGAATGAGAAAGACAAATTTTCATTCTCCCAGATTTAAAATGATTCAGGAAAAGAACGGCACCCCCAGTTAGTCAGATGCCTTTTTGGGGTGGTGAGTAATGCAGAGACTTTGCCTCTGCTTCAGACCAGCCCCAGACCACAACTTGGCTGAGCCAGCACTTTTGGCAGGCCTCACAGCCATTAGGAATCACCCTGGCCAAATCCTCCCACCAACTTGAGAGAATTGGCCAATCATCCTCTGGTGGTTTCTGCCACATAGCAAAGCCACATCCCCAGCTAGAGACAAAAGGATATTCAACAGGAATAAGTATGCTTGAAGGAAAGTACTATACTGTTTACAAAACGCTATCGGGTACTCTCTACCATAACAACTTAGGAAGTTGGTGGAACACGAATGATCACCCCATTTTACAATCACAAAACAGAGGAATTAGGTGCTTTTAACACAATCATACTACAAAAAGATACTGGAACTATGACCACAACTCAGCCCCGCCACTGAATCTAGGCTGCATCCTGTTCAAATGATGGCGTTTCAGAAATCAAGGACTTGAGACCATGATTCTGCCCATGTCATCGTCCTTGCCTGGACCATTGTCTGTGTATCACCAGTGCCCAGCACAACACTTTACACAAGGTAGGTATGCAATTAGTGTTGACCAAATAGAACACTAAGCTAGACTTTTTTTTTTTTCCACTGAAGGTTCATCAGGGACTCATAAAATGCAGGTTATTATCCAAGGCTCTGCTAAATAGATAGCGTTTGTCGAACAATTTTTATTTATTCATCTAGTTTTGCTCTAGTGTGCAAGTACTCACTAGAAAGAGAGAAAGAGAGAGAGAGACAAAGTGGAAAAGCACCCCACAACATGGATAGTTACAACATAGTCCCTTCTCCTTCATTCTCCTCTGGGATTTTGGACACACACAAACACACACACACACACACACACACACACACACACACAAACACACATACACACGCGCATCCAGCATGTCTTTCAAGCTTCCAGGCCCGGGATTTTAACTATGCAGCAGGCCATTAGGCATTCAGCCACCTTAGCCACCTACTGGCCAGTCCCATAAGCCCTTATCAAAGGAGATTAACTTTCAGGGAGGAAAAAATGTGTAACAAAAATCCCGACCCTGGCCACTTTCTTCCATGGTCTAAAAATTGGTTCTAATATTTTATGTAATACATTAAGACATATATTTGTCTTTACTCATTTCCCTATTTTACATAAAATGTGATTTTCTAAATAAATTCTGTGTGGACTATTTTTTAACCAATTAATCTTTAAAGGCAATGTGGCAAGTTAGAAATTAATAAGAGGTGATATATGAAAATCTAAATCAAAAAAGCAGGTAAATTAGTAGGTGATTATCCAGTTTACAAAAGTATTCATCATTATAATCCTTCAAATTGTGAGCTCACCTAACACATTAGAAATTATTCAATCAGAAAAATTACATTTGCACACCATTCTCAGAAAACCATGTATTAGCCCCAAACAAGGCACCCTCAAACTCAACTATAGTTAAGTATTTTTTAAATGAACAAATGGAGAAAATATAAAGGAATCCTAACCTTTGCTATTGTCAGTTCTCAAATATAGATGTAAATGAATAATCAGCTTCAGTTGTTAAAGGGAAAGTGAATTTCATTTTGCTCCTAGCAGGAAAGAAAGGAAACTCCTTGTTATTTGACACTTTCCTTGCTGTTAAGAAAGCAGCTGCCTGCTACAAATACCAAATCCTTGTTCTGAACAGCTGATGAATCATTTATCATCACATTGATTTTTCTCATTCTTTTTTTTTTTTTTTGAGCAAGTTTATCTCCATCAAAATTGGTCACAATTTGAAATTCAACTGAAATGGGTTAGCAAATGCAAACTGATATAGATACCAAGATATCAAATTATGTGGGAAAGTGGCCTACAACTCATAAATGTGGAGAGAACTAGGAGAGACTAAGAGGAACAGAGAGAGAGGGATAGCAAGATTTCTGAAAGTGTTTTCTACAAAGGCCCCTCAGAAAAATCTGCCTGCACAAAAGGAATGAAGATGAACTGGCCATGAACCATATTGGAGGGTAGATATCAGGGAGAATAACTGTCAGCATTCTGTGATCTTGGCCAAGTCGCATTAGCTCCAAGGACCTGTTTCCTTATCAGTAAGCCAAAAGGGTTAGACCAGATTATCTTTTAGATCCCTGCTAAGAGTAAGCATCTAAGTCTAGAAAGAAGAGTAAAGTTTGAAGGAGTCTTATGTTGGTGATGTATTTTTGCAGAAGTAAATAGGTTTATATTATCAGTCTAAGGAGCATTTTTCCTAGGTATCATCATTCCAGAATATTTCATCTTCTACTCATGGAATACATCCACACACAAATACCCCCATTTTCAGTGTCCATGGAAATCAGTCAATTTCATACTTGTGCTGTTAAACCATCTCCTGATTGAAACACAGATGCCATGAAGGTGAGCAGGCTTATCATTGTAGCAGGTAATGGCATAAACCCCAGGTGGTCGCACAGGTTTGCTATCACTTCTAGAGTACCACCCCTCCCTCTCCTTGCAGTCCCTAGCCTTGGAAGACTAACACCTTGGTGGGGAAGCCAGGCCCTCCCTCTCTGGAGCTACTTAGTTTCTCAGAGAATGATTTAAAGCCAGGCCTTACAATGAGGGCCCTTTTCCTGATAAACAGAAAAGAACAATTGTTAAGTGACATCATGATGATGACACATAAATAAGTACTATACCTTGTAAGCTCTTCCCGCAGATGTCCAGGGTCCACTGGGAAAAATTTCACCATAAATTTGAAAACAACCTCCTTAGGATCTTAAAACACAATATCTCCATAAGTTTTCTTTAAATGTCCATCACAACAGTTACAGATAATTACACACACACACCTCTTCTCTTTTCTCCCCTCCCCCTATACCACCTCCCACAGAGATTTCTTATCAATTTCAAGTTTTCATATAAAGTGTCACTATTCTGGATTTTTGTCTCTACGTGGATAGCAATTAAGAAAATTCTCTCATCTTTCTTCCCACCCTCTCTCCCTTTGAAATTCTTTTTGTAAAGTTGTGCCACTTGGGTGTCTACTATGTCCTCTCCTGTGAAGTGTCCCATCAGAAAAATACACCAGTTGCTACTTGGGAGTCTGCATTCCTGGCTGACAGAAGAGTTCGGCTTCAGTTCGGGTAGGTGAAGCAATACGGACCAATGCCTCTATTTATCTTAAAATATACGTTAAGAAAACACATCTACTTATCTTCACACCTTCTTGCATTTGATAATAAGAAACTTCTTATATCATAAGTAAATACATACAAAGCTTAGCATGGTGATATGAGCCTGTAATCCCAGTAATTTATGAGGCAGAGGCAGGGGGATTACAAGCTATAAAGCTGGCCTGGGCAACGTAGCAAGACCCTATTAAAATAGAGTGAGGTGTGGTAGCACGTGCCTATGGTCGTAGCTATTTGGTAATTTGGTAAGCTGAGACAGCAGGAGTGTGACACAGCAAGACCCTGTATAAAAAATGAATTTAAAAATAAATAAATAAAATCTAAACACATGGGGCCAGCAGGTGGCATGGTGGTTAAGGTGCTGGATACTGCATGGCCGACTCCACAGTGCAAGTCCCAGAACCAGCAGCTTTAAAAACACACAGAATGTGTGTATGTGTGCCCAAAATCCTGAGAGGAAAATGGAAGAGAAAGGCTTGTGGCATGGCCATCCCCTTGGGGGATTATTTCTCACTCTCCCACTCTCTGTTCCGTGAACTCAAGCACCTTATGGCAAAAGAAAAGCAACAAAAATGAAACAAAAGGAGACCAGCAGATGGCGTAATGGTTATGTTGTTGGACTCCCACATAGTCGACTACAGTTGGAGTTCTGGACACAGTTGATGCCTGGACCTGCTGGCTTAAAACTCACTCTAGGCACGTGTACACGAGTACCCAAACTCCCAAGAGGAGAATGGAGAAGAGGAAATTTTGGCACGGCCATCCCCCGGGGTGCGGGGTGTGACTTCTTGCTTTCAGTCTCTATGTCTCTCAATCTCTCTCTGTCTCTAAAAAAATTAAACTCATGTATGTAGTATTAGCACCATTTATTTGATAAATATTTTGGGGGTGCCTGTTATGCACCAAGTATTGTACTAGACAGGTATTGGGAGTAAATCATAGAAGAGACAGACATATACAATTACAATCCCACAAAGTGCTGGAAGCACTGAACACTGGGGAAGCACAAGAGGGAGAAAAGAATGTGAAAGAGGTTAAGGAAAATTTCCTAGAGGAGATGATGCCTGAATATGGCTGCCAGATTTATCAAGTAAAAATACAGGATTTCCTGTTCACTTGAACTTCAGAGAAACAATTGCATGGGTATATTTATTTTTTAAAGTTTATTTAAAATTATAACTTCATTGGCATCCTGTATTTCATCTGCAGTGGAGGTAGAAATATTGGGTTGTTGGAAAGTCATGATGCATTTTTGCATAGAAAAATAGGTCATGACTTTCCCAAGGACCTAAGACAATGTGGTTAGTGGGAGGGGCAAGGCTAGAAAATTAGAGTCCTATGCTTTACGTATCATGCTGACTTTGGCCCTTCCTGTAAGAAAGGCTCCCAGTAGGGAGCCATGGAAGCATCTTAAATAGGAGAGTGAGGTGATCAGGTTTGTATTTTCAATAGATTCCACTGAGAGTAGTGTAGATGGTCGATTTGGTAGACCAGTTCTGAATCTGTTAGAATAATGTGATAGATGATCATTTTGCAGTGAGAATAGACAAGAGCTGTGAAAACCACCCCAACATGTGAAGAGCATAAAGAAGAACCAATAAAAAAAACACTAAAACAGTGTTTGTCAAAGTGCTGGCAGAAATTCATCTACCTCAGAAACACCTGTTTTATTTGTTAAACATGCAGGTTGTTGGCCCCCAACCCAGGAACGAGGCCCAGGAATCTGCAGTTTAACAAGAAACCCAGGCGATCCTAATGCACACTGAAATTTGAGAACCACCACGCTAAATTGTGAAATATAGGAGGAAATATTCACTCAAATATGAACTGAAGCAAAATGACGGGAAAAAATAACAAAACCAAAGAATGCTCAGGCAGAAGGTGAACAGCATTGCAGACTGACATCAAGGATGCTTGAAGATTTGCAGTGCCAGAGCAAGAGACATATTCCCAGAGCCAATCCTTAGAGTGCTGTAATTACCAGGTTCTTCAGATTTACTCAAAGATCCAGCAGCATGATTTTCTTCATCTTGGGTAGAATTAAAACAATTTTCTAAATTGCCAAATTTACTGGATATATGAAGAATTGAAATGATATATCAAAGCCCTCTTCTCTCTTTAAATTAAGGTGAGGAATTGTGTGGTGTGACTAAAATATTTTTCAAGGTCCTAACTGGGAACTACTTGCCTCAAATGATTTTCTATACTTACTTTTTACTTGCTTGGTTATAGGCTTCAGGAGTTCCAACCAAACCTATAATAACATCAATGATGAAATTGTTAGGACATATGTGTTTTTTTTTCTTTTTCTTTTTGGTAATAAATAAAGGTCAACATGAAATAAACAAATAACAGAACTATTTAGATTTCTTCAGATAGTTGGAAACCGTGTCAAAGAGATGACATACCTTCACCACACTCAATCTGGCCCCTTATGTTTTCCCAATGACAGTGAACATTGTTGATCTATAAATTCTTTGTTGTTGACATTTGAATCACTGCTCCCTTGCCTCAGTAGGATGACAGAGGTGTCACATACAAGGCTCATTAGTTGCTACAAAGACTAATGAAGGCATTTGGCTCCACATTTGAATCCTACAGTCCCCAAATGTCGGCTTAATAGGTATAATGAGCCTTTCTGGGAAGGTGCCAGGTTACAGATATGACAAGGCAGGACAGAGCACAAAAATATCTTGAATGTTAAGACTTGAGGAAAAAGGAAAGGAGATTCCCCTGAATATTCACTGGTAAGGTCAGGAGTCAGTTCTGGGGGTCGAGGTCCAGCATTTAGAAAGTCAAAACAGTTAAAGTGTGGATAGCTGTTGGGCCAGCAGCTATGGTAGTTAGGCGCTGGACTCCCACATGGCCAACCACAGTTCAAGTCCTGGACCTGATGGCTTGCTTTCTCACTTTCTCTTTCTCTATCTCCCTCTGATTAAATTAAAATATTATTAAATACAATTAAATATATATATTTTAAAGTGTAGATAGCTGTTTGCAGAGTAACAAATGGGATCATAGGGTAGAAGAGTTTGTTTTTGATAAACTGAGATGACTTTTAATAAACAAGGGGGGAGGGAGTTAATACATTCAATCATTTTGCAAAAGTGTAAATGGGGCATGGTGGTTAAAGGAGCTGGATTCCGACATGGCCAACCCTGGCTCAATCACCCACGGAAGAATGACCACACTGCGATCCCTTATCTTCCATTCTCCTCTAAAGATTTTGGGCACACACACAGACACACAACAGCATGATATTTCAAACCACTGGGTGCAGGCCTCCTAACGTGATCAACCATGTGGGAGTCCAGAGCCTTAACCACCACTCCTTCTGCTGGCCCTGGCTTTCATTTTTCAATCAGAGATCTGAACCCTACTTACCTAACTGCAAACTGCATTTAGGAGCACTTCTAGACAGAAAGAATCCTATAATGAAGCCAACTTACATTATTTCCAGAATGGCTGCAGAATTCTAAGCCCAAATATTCCTTTTCAGCAAGATTTAGATGGCTGCAACTCAGGTTAAACAGTGCCCTTCCAGAAGATTTTTGCTAAACAAAACAAAAGAGATCAGAGCATGGTTTGCATCCCTAACCTGATATTGTTATTGCAGTGTGGAATAAAGAACTCTCCGTTAAGCACACTTTAGAGGACCCACATCCTCCTAAATGATGTTGAGCTTTACAGATATGTACAGATACACGAATTTATCTGTAGCTTGTTTTAGGAACATTCCTAAAAAACCCTCTGACTAATGTCAAACCGTCTTGGAAAGAAAGAGCATTGTATTCAATTGTGGCTAGAAATGCAAGTTTAACTTTTCAATGGAATTCCTAAATCAACTCATCCCACAGGCAATTCGAATGATTTTCTCCAAATTGAGAGATAGCTTAATCAAGATATAAATCTGACTCTACTACTCCCCTGCTTACATTCCTTCAGTAGCTCCCCTTAGGACAAATCTACTGCTTAGCAAGGGTCACTGGACCTTCTCTTTCTCATGAGGCCCTGACTGCCTTCAAGCCTCATTTCTTTTGCACCCCTTTTTGACACCCTCCCCTCTAATAATCGCAGCCTGCCTATAGTTCCCCACATTTGTCAAGTCATTTCATGCCTTCATGCGTCTGCTTCTGTCATTCCTTCTCCACAGACCTCCCTTCCCACCTTTTCTTCAGTTTGACTGACTCCTGTTCAACTCAGATGTCACCTCCTAGGGGGAGCTTTCTTGATCCCTGTCAGCCACAGGTTGAACAAAGGCCAGGCCTGGTGCTCCCACACACCCTTGCTTACCTCAAATGTGGCACTTCTTACACTGGATGTCTATTTCCCCTTTAGAGTGAATTTCCTCCATAGCAGAGTCCTTGCTTTATTTTTTCTTGTTACTTTCCAAGTCTAACTTAGAGCCTGACACGTCATAGGGGCTCTTGAATATTTGTTGATCCAGCATGAAATGGACCAAATTAATCACTTGAACTCCTTGAGGTTTCATTTTGCAGCTTTGCCCACTGAATCTGCATATAGCATACTCTGTTCCCATCAGACTGCACATATATATATTTTTTCATTATAAAGCCCCCACACACTGTGAGTATCAAATAGTCCCTTTCTTATGGCCCTCTGAGAACAGGAGCTTTGAAGAGCTCTCTGTGAACTACTCTTTGAGCTGGGGCCGATCTTCAGCTGCCACCATTGCTGAACCCGAGGGTTGCTGTTGCAGGGAGGACTGTGATGGGAAAATTGGGCCCTGGCTGATAGGCACAAAGACATGCGCTGAAAACCCCTAGTTAAAGCCGAGTCACGCGGTGCCTATGGTACAGCAAAGGGAGCCTGGGTTGGGAGGGCGGCACAGGGAAATGTAGTTGGAAAATCACCGACCCATAGAATTAACTGCAACCTTGAGAGGTCAGAGAGTCCATCCCTCACCCCACCCCCTCTCCCTCAAGGCAGTACCACACTGAACAGATCCCACATCTGGGATTTAATAGCTTCCAGGAAGGCGGCCTACCTCACCCCCTTCCCCCACCGACCAAAAGTAACCCCCTCTCCCCTTGGACTTCTCTCCACTTGGTTCACTGCCCAGAGCTCCACCAACTCAAGATTCATTTGGGTTAACCAGAGTCCTATTTTTAAATGCAAATAGACCACAAAGGGTGAAATCTATTGCATCTCTAGCACCTGGAGAGAGAGCTGCTGTACTGAAAGAAAGGGGGTTGGACTTGATATGGGAGATTGCATTAAAACTGTGGCCTAGGAGAAGGGGATCAGCCCCTTGGGGTGGTGCCAAGGGCATGGAGGTTGGGGGAAGGGTTTCTGGGGGAAGGGGTGTCTGATAGGGAGGGTGGAAAGGGGGCATTTTTGCCTATGTGGCAACCTTGCCTAGGGCAAGTGCTGACACAGACCATTCCAGACAGATGAAATCGCTCCTATTTTTAAAGTACTCCAGACAAGGAGCTGCCACGGGATTTTTATTATGAGAAAAAAAAATTCTAAAGAGAGAGAGAGATGACAGCAATACTCTTTCCAACACCAAAGAAACATTTCAGTCACGAGGACAAAATTCCAGCATAGACTCCAGTTTCTTTGCAAACAATTTAAGAAGCTCAAGATTTTCCTTTTTCTTCATTTTTCTTCTTATTTTCCAGTGGGGTGCTTATCCTCCCCATGAATGCAACCACATTACATGTGTTTGTATATTTCAGTGTTCCTGCAGTCACAAATAATATATCGCCATTCTTGTAAGGTTTCAAATCAAGACTCTTTTTGCTACCTTCTGGAAGATCCCATACCATGTTTATAAGAATAATCCCCTGATTCTTCCATCCCTGTAAATGTTGCCAACTAGCTCGAAGAGCCTTTGGCACGTATGCATCTAGAAGTTAGGCGTTCACATGGCTCAAGTGCTCCACCCCCATCTCTAAGAAAGGCATTTCCTTCAGTCCTCCATAGTGGAAGCTGGAACTGGCCAGCCTTGTGGAATGTGTTGCACAATAGGTAAGGCCTTGGTACTGTCTCAACGTGCAACCTTTAGTTTTCTCTACCATCATGATCTAATTCCTCAACTTCTATGTTATGCTGAGCTTTCTCATAATATCTCCATATATATGATCTTCCTGTTTTCTTTTTTTAGGACCTGACTGTTAAATTGCCTGTTCTTGTTTAAACTGGCACTTTTTGATACTCTAGTCAAGCTCCTTAGGTGGGTCTCAATTCTTTACCAACAGGCAGTTCTCCCACTCAAGGAGCTGAAACTCCAATTCAGTAACCTCTTTTACCCTTATCTCCCTTAGATTATAATAGAGTAGGGTCTGCATTTAACACACACACACACACATACACACACACACACACACACACACACTATATCTATCTATCTATCTATCTGACCAGTAGATGGTGTAATGGGTTACATCACTGGACTCCCATGTAGTTGACAGCAGTTTAAGTCCTGGACCTGGCAACTTAAAACTCACATATGCGTGCATGTCCAAAATCTCGAGAGGAGAATGGGAGAAAAGGGACTGTGACATGGCCATCCTCCCTGGGTGGGGTGGTTTCTTGCTTTTGGTCTCTCTGTCTCTCTCTCTCTATCCAGTGAGTGCACGAACCCTATAGCACATATATATATGTTTTAGAGCCAGCCCCACGGCCTAATGGCTAAGGGAACCAGATCTCACATGGCTGACCATGGTTTGAATCTTGACCCTGGTGGTTCGAGAAACACACCAAGTACATGTGTGTGCATGTCCAAAATCCTGATAGGATGGAGAAATGGAGACAAAGGGATTGCTGTGTGACTAAGTCCCATTGAAGAGTGTCCCCATGCCCACCTCATTCTGTCTCTCTCTGGCAAGTGCATACACCCTCTAGCATTTTAAACAAATGTTTATAACTTATAATATTTAATTTACTTGATCATAATCACTGGGCATTGATTCCTGGGGGCTCCAGATGCATCTCATGGAAAAATAATATTCAAAGTGACTGGTTTTATTTGGGGGCAGGGGGAAGGCATGTACAAGTGTTTGGCATGATTTTCAATCTGCCGGGTCCAGGGCTTGAACCATCGTTGGTCATGCTGGAGTACAGTGACTTAACCACCATGCCACTTGCTAACCCCTCTCAAAGTGACTTGCTTTAAAAACCAGTCTACTAAAGTTTCTAGAAATGTCATATACCAATTTGTGAAGATAAACCTGGATTGAAACCTTACTGAATTCACTTACTGGATGAATTGGGGCAAATCATTTAGCTTACAAATTGATCTTCCTTTTCCAGGTGCTCGAAGACAGAAATCATGTACCTGAATACCTGGCATTAAGCACAGTCCCTGGCAAAGAGTAGTACTCACTCAATAGATGTTTACTGAGTAAATATATTAATGGACCCAAATATTTAACTTGATTCACATACATTAGTAGGATTGTCCTCACAGGAGGAAGAACATATTAGTTACCATGTGATCTTGGGCAAATTACTGAAACTTTCTGAGTCTCAATTTACTCATCTTTAAAATTGTGGTATTGGGTCAGTAGATGGCATGGTGGTTAAAGTGCTGGATCTCACACAGCTGACTCCATGTTTTGAGCCGTGGTCCTGGCAGCTTGAAAACAAGCCAGGTGAGTGTGCCTGCATGCCCAGAATCCCAAGAGGAAAAGGAAATGTGGCACTGCCATCCCCACAGGCGGTGATTTCTCACCTTTCTTCTCTATCTTTCTCTGCCTCTCTCTGGTGAACAAATGTATCCTATAGCAAAAACCTAAGGGGAAAAAATGTCATTATAGTGTGACGATTCCACAAGGTAATTCCCATCAAATTCTTAATACAGTACTTGACACATTGTATGACTTACATAAAGCACATATATCCATAAATGCATAGAAATGAGTCTGGAAGCATATATACAAAGCTGTTGACAGGATTATTTCTGGAATGAGGATTTTTTTTTTTTTTTAGAGAGAAATTTATGCTTCCTGGAGACAGATAAGGTGAGAAATCCTCCCCTTCCCCCACAGTGGGGATGGTCACACCACAATCCCTTCTCCTCTATTCTCCTCTCAGGATTTTGGGTATGCACACACACATACCTGGTGTGATTTTCTAGTCACTGGGTCTGGGACTTGAACCTCAGTCAACCGTGTGGGAGTCCAGTGCCTTAACCACTATACCACCTGCTGGCTCCAAAGTGAGAATTTAAAAGATAGGGACTTTAGGTTGATACTCTGTACATGTTTAGATTTTTTTAAAGTTTGTTTTATTATTTACTGGGAGACAGAGACAGAAAGAGACAGTCACCCTGGACGGGAGGAGTTCATCCTCCCACAGACCCCACCTGGCTCTCCAGCCAGCCAGGATCAGGGGCATGAACACAACCTAGTAGACTCTGGGTCTTCCCATATGACTCTAGCATCACTTCACAGCCTACACCACCATAACTGGGCCTAGAGGTATTTTTTTGTTTGTTTGTTTGTTTGTTTTTTGCTTTTGCTTTTGTTTTGTTTTGTTTTTGAGCTAGGGCAGTAAAAAATCTCCTAACCAACTTCTACCCAATAATGCACATACAATGCTTACCATTCTCTCTTTAAAACATTCACAGATGCCCATGTCAGAATGAAAGCCCTTAGCTAGTAGGCTGCTCTAATATGATTGTGCACTTTGACATCCACTGATCAAGTCCCATGCTTACTAATAATTATTTCCTTGATCATATTTTGACAGTTCTACTTGTGATTATAATTACGCTATTTAATTAAATTGTATGTATATAAAAGTTATTATGAGCAGTAAACACAAGAGTTGTTTCTATGAAAATTAAGCCAGTTTGTAGAGACAAAAAGGAGTAAGTCCCCCAAATGTGCTATGAAATTAGTTTTAGATATAACAGTTATAAAACTCTGGGGGAGAAAAGATGGACTCTATTAATAGAAGGCTTCTGTATTTAAATTGCTTTGCAAGCATGTACCTTCTTCTTCCATGTTAAACAAACTAATATTGGAAATTATAGATGATGCATTATGAGTGTGATTTACTGAAGAAAAGCAAATGAGAACACAATCAGAAGTCTATACTCAAAACCAAGGCCTCCAAACCTAGCCTCTGTGGTGCAATCAGTAGCATACTGAACTACAGTGTAGGAAGTCACATGGCCAACCGTATGGATCCCTGGCTAGTGGACCTGAAACATACATGCATGCATGCCCAAGATCCTGATGAACTGAGGGAGATGGGGGAAGGGGATTGAGGCATGATGAAACCCCATTGAGGGTGTCTCTCTCTCCCCCTCTCTGTCTTTGCTACATGCACACACAAACATCATCATGAAATAAAAAAATAATAACTTTAAAAAGGCAGCATAAAATATAAATTTATGTTTTATGTTTAAATAAAAAGTTTAAGGTGTTTGTGTGTATATGTATATAATTTATTATGAGTCCCTGCTTTAGCAAATTTTATCAATTAACTGACCAACAACCATCTTCAACAACATTAGAAAAAAGCAATTTTAATATGTCCATGTATTAGGGCCAGCAGGTGGCGTGATGGTTGAGGCACTGGACTCCCACATCACCAACCACAGTTTGAGTCCTGGACCTGGCGGCTTGCTTTCCAACTTCCCTCTCTCTCTCATATTTAAGGTTTCAGGAAAGGATAGACTAGAACAAAATTTAGCATGTTATTAATAGTAGCAGGAAAGGTTATTTTTACTTTTCCTTATACTTGTTATATTTTGCAAAGGAGTACAATAGACATTAATAAATTAAAAGCATAGTGTCATACAAAGGGTCTTATAGATAGATGTCCTTCTCTTCCCAATGCTGATTCTGGCATTTGAAATATTTCTTATGATCCTCTCGGGAAATAGTTTTTTTTTTTTTTTTTTTTTTTTAAAATTTTTACCGGTCAGACAGACAGAGAGAGACATAGAGACAGAAAGCGAGAAATCACCCCCCAGGGGGGATGGTCACGCCGCAATCCCTTCTCCTCCATTCTCCTCTCGGGATCTTGGGCACGCACGCACACGCGCCCGGCATGAGTTTTAAGCCACCGGGTCCGGGACACGAACCGCGGTCGACTACGTGGGAGTCCAGTGACATAGCCATTACGCTAACTGCTGGTTCCCGGGAAATAGTTTTTGAAGTCATAGATGATAATCACTTATTCTCCTGACTACAGTTACACATCATATTTAGCTCAAAATATGACACTTTTAGCTTAGGCTGCCATAAACAAAATACGTGGACTGGGCAGCTCAAACAATAGAAATGAATTATCTCACTGTTCTGGAGACTGGTATCTGAGATGAGGGTGCCAGCATGGTCATACTCTGATAAAAGAGTTCTGCTCCTGGCTTGCAGATGACCTCCTTCTCACTATGTCCACACGTGATAGACAGAGAGAGTGGAGAGAGAGAGAGATTGAGATCTTCCTCCTCTTGTAAAGTCACCAAAGTTATCAGATAAGGATTCCACTCTTTTGATGTCATGTTTTCTTTTTTTTTTTTTATGTTATTTAACTTTCATTACCTCCTAACATCACCAGCTCCAAATGCAGTCACATAACCCAGATTGATCATTCACTTTAGCTACCATATTTCCTCCATATGGCTTTTGGCTCTTTTCAAACACCAAATCCATTCTCAAATAAGGAAGATTTGTGAGGCATTTTGGAAAGAATGCACCCAGTTACAGAAGACCAAAGAAAGTTCCAAGAATGTGCTGAGCACCTGCAATCAATATGAGGAGGCAGCGCATCATGAGAGATAAGCCTGTGGCTCTGGAGCCAGACGCACCTGGGTCTAGTTCTGACTCCTCTACCCGCTGTAGGCATGATTTGGGGTAGACTACTTAATCTCTCTGAGCCTGAGTCTCTTCCATTGCAAAATAGGATTGTCAGAGGCCAGATCAAAAGGCCACATATTAAATGATTCCATTTATATAAAATAGCTTAAAATAGGCAAATCCATAGAGGTAGAAAATAGATTACTGGTTGTCAGGGGCTGGGGCAGGAGTGGAGGACAGCATGGGGAATGAGTACTAATTAGCATGGAGTTTTTTGGGGGTGAGAAAATGTCTGGAATTAGATAGTTGTGCTGGTTGCACAACATAGTGAATATTCTAAAAACCACTGAACTGAAGATGTTAAAAGGATGATTTTTCTGGTATGTAAATACTATCTCAAATTCCAAAAGGATTATAGTGAACATGTAATGAAAATATTCATGTCAAGTACTTTATACAGTGTCTGACCCAGAGAAAAAGCTCAATAATCGTTGACTATTTCTAGGGTAATCACACACATACAATTTATGGGCCATTCCTAGACACTTTTCAGAATGACAAGGGCACTAATAGTTATCATATTGTCACCACAGGCATGAAGCTAGACTTCCTTGGACAAACGTTGGTGTATGGTCATCAAGCTATTAGCATTTGGACCACCCAAGGAGTCTGTCTTGACAAGGACAGTATTTCTCTGAATATTACAGATCTGGGATATTAAGGCTCACACACATGACTATTCATTTCCCCTCATAGAAACTAGTGCCTGCCAATCATTCCTCCAGTGGCAAGTGGAATGACTTACCTTCTGGTCATTTGGACCATCTGACTCCACATTTTCATAGGTCAGGCTTAACCATAACAAATGCACAAAAAGAGAGGGACAAAGAACTGCTTCATCAATATTAACTTCCTCCTTCATAAACACTCCTTACCTCTCCTTTAAGCATATCTCTTTTTTTCTCCATTTTTTATTCCCTTTTTATAGTTCTTTTAACTTTCCTGTTGTAATTTTCACACGCCCAAACTATGGGCTTTATTTTGTGTGCTTGCCTTTGTCCTATGTATGATTTTGAGGCCTTTTCATCTGCTCTTCAATTCAACACACAATATTGTGTACCTGCTTTCTGCCAGATGCTTTCCTCGGCTCCAAGAAGGCTGAGGTGTGTGAGACACAGGAATTATCAACAGGAACACACAGGTTGACAGACAGGCAAGATAGGCACATCAATGGTTAATTACAGTGGTTTGGTCTAAGTGCTCTTATGAAGGTATATATGCAAGGGGCTGCATGAGGTCACATCGAAAGGGCACCTAACTCAAAAAGATGGGTAAGGAGGTGTCACAGAGGATTCCTAATGGAGGGGACACCTAATCTGAAGCATGAATCAAAAGTGGAAGTTAGCTGGGACCAGCAGTTGGTGTAATGGCTATGTCGCTGGACTCCCATGTAATTGACCACGGTTCGCATCCCGGGCCCAGTGGCTTAAACTCACACTGGGCACGTGTATGTTGTGTAACCAAGATTCCGAGAGGAGAATGGAGGAGAAGGGATTGCAGCATGGCTGTTCTCCCCACCCCCCACCCCGGGGGTGATTTCTCGCTTTCTGTCTCTCTGTCTCTCTCTGTCTTTCTGGCGAGCGCACACTCTCTATAGCAAAAACTTTTCAAAAAAGAAAAAAAAATAGGAGTTAACCAGGTGAAAAGATGGATAAGAGAGGGGCATCAGAGGCAGAAAAGATTAGGAAACATGTGAACAATGAAACTACTGACGATTTGCTGTTACTAAGGGAGAAAGTGTGATACAGTGGCTGGAAAAGAGGACAGGAGACATAGCAGGGAGGGCCTTCTGTGGCATGGAAGCCATATTCCTGAATGTGCACGGTAGGATGGTCTGTAGAGTAGTTGGATTTTTTTAAAGATTTATTTATTTCACTTTACTTATTATCATTTTAATTTGCCATGAAGCATATGCACTTACCAGAGAGACACACAGAGAGAGGGAAAGCGAAAGAGCAAGCCACCACGTTCAGGACTGGAACCATGGTTGGCCATGTGGGAATCTAAGTATCTTAACCACCATACCACCTGCAGGCCCCAAGCATGTGGTCTCAGCCTGGCATGATTTTAAAAAGGGAATTTATATCATGTTTTAGAAATACCAGTCTGGGGCCAGCAGGTGACATGGTGATTGAAGTGCTGGACTCACACATGGCTGACTGTGGTTCAAGTCCTGGACCTGGCAGCTTGTTCTCTCTCCTTCTCTCTCTCTCTGATAGGTTTGTGTTCCCTGTAGAAAATTGGGAAATAAGAAATGCCAGTCTGGAAGTCACAGCTTCCTCAAATAATGTGAATTACCTGAGGATCTTATTAAAATGCAGTTTAGGATTCCGTAGGTATAGGGTGGGACCATAGAATCTCTGTTTCTAATAAACTCTCAAGTGAGACTGACGCTGATGGTCTATGAATTACACTTTGAGGAACAAGGGTGTAAGGAATAAATGGAGGAGGGGGCGTAACAGGTGACAGACAAACCAAGTGACAGCCAGGCTATTGTACTGTCAGGTGAGAGAAGCTGGTAACCTAGACTAAAGCAGTGGCAGTGAGAATAGAAAGAGGCAAGATGTGATACATGTCTGCATCGTAGGTGCAGTTGTGCAATTGGATTCAGGCAGGTAAGTGATCGAAAGAGTCCTGGACATCCCTGGTATTCTTTTTGCTGTCCTTAGAGGCTTACTCCCCTTTTGTGCTCTGCCTTGGTAAAGTTTTGTATATACCATAGCTGAGCTTAGGTTACATTTTATAGTCTTTAATCGCCTTTATGCACCTCTTTGCCCATTCCTGTCATTTGTTTCTTTACCAGTTGTAACAAGGGGTACGCAAGCAACTTGTTTCACTTTCTCCCTACCCATCCCCTTCTTACTGAATTCTTCCCACACCAACCAATCTGAAAATGGGGATGCTGGGAACATTCCTCAGCGATGTGTGCACATATTTGAGCACCCCCTTTGACATCCCCTACTCTTTGTGCAGGTTTGAAAAGGTTTTTGCTGGCATAAACTTAAAATATCCTTTTGACACCCCATCTCTGAGGTGTTCATTATCTGCTGTTAAAGTCATCCACCTGGCACTTCCTTTCTAGTCTTTGATGGTAAACCTCAGGCTTTCCTCGCATATTATCACTTTCACAACTCATCCCAATCACCCATGCTAGTACTGGCCCAGAATCACTTCCATCCACAGTAGTGAGAACACATTGCCACTCAGAGTCCTCGAAGTAGTTCCTTCTGGCTACTCTGCTGGCTAATTTCTGTCTCTCCTTTTACTTTTCAGATCATTAACTTTGAATAGCATTTTTTTTTTTTGGAGAGGTTTTTCCTATAGGGCGCGTGTGCTCGCCAGATAGACAGACAGAGACATAGAGACAGAAAGCGAGAAATCACCCCCCGGGGGGGATGGCCACGCTGCAATCCCTTCTCCTCCATTCTCCTCTCGGGATTCTGGGCACGTACGCACACACACCCGGTGTGAGTTTAAGCCACTGGGTCCGGGACGCGAACAAAGGTCGACTACGTGGGAGTCCAGCGACATAGCCATTATGCTAACTGCTGGTCCCCCAACTTTGAATAGCATTTTGAAACTCAGAAGCAAGCAGAACACCTTGGTGAGAAGATTGGACTTGTGCTAAGTAGAACAGGAAGTCTGAGGTATTTCTGCATTTTGGAACCATTTGGTGCAGTTCCAGGCTAGGTATGTTTTTGATGGTGCTCATTTAATTTCAGTCATGTAGTAAAATCTTGTTTTGCATCTTGCTATATACTCCTTCACTTCAATGTAGACCTCTGTTGATAAATAGCAACAGGCATGCACCTCACTCACAGAGAGCTTATACCCCTATGAAGGCAAGCCTTTCTCCTTTTCTTCCATCCATAGGCTATTAAATCCAGGTATCTCAGAACCTCTTGGAGATTTAACACCATCCATAGGCTATTAAATCCAGGTATCTCACAACCCCTTGGAGATTAAACCTTGGGACTACTCCTTTTTAAGACTGCTGATTTTTAAAATTTTTATTAAAAATACAAATAGGGTCTAGTCAGTGGCACAGCGATAAAATGGCATTCTCTGTGAGGCTGAACCACATGGGTGGGTTCCCAGTTCATATCCAGAGACCTCCTGGATGTGAATTCCCATGTTCCAGGCTGACTGGAGCTGAAGGTGGAATTGTGGTGTTCAAACCCAGTTGGGGTGCCATATCTCTGTCTCTCTCACTCATAGAACAAATAAATAACTTAAAAATGCAAATATTCTAAAATGGCAAAAAAAAGCATATATCTGAAATGTGTATCAATACAGCCAGATGTAACCAGTTTTCTAAGAAATAAGCTGAACATAATTTGAAACTTTTTACTTAGGAAACTACCCAGGGAACTAGGAAAGGGAGTTCCTTCAGGGCAGGGCAAAAGAAATTTATTAACCAAGATGTATTCTTTCTGAGGGAGTTGACTCCTGGTAAAAAGAGGAGTGCTGAGAGGCATGAGGGGCTAATTACCAGGTAGCAGCAGTTCATTCCAAAATGGATCTCTCTCTGCAGGCAGTCTAGTCTTTTAGCATCTGGTGGAGAGCAAGGTGCAGTTAGACACATCAAAGAACAAAGAATAAGTAGGAAGTCAACCAAGGCCCTTTTCCCAGAGCCCATAGGACTCAACAACAAACCTAGAGGAAAGCACAGTTTAACTGGGTACTTAAGATTTCCTAGTGGGGGTAAGCAGAGAGAACAACCCTTCTAGTTGATTGTGCATGTGTGAAATTCACATCAAATTACAACTGGCTTTTATTTTACTTCTGAAAACAGAAAGCATTTCAAAGTGCTGCGTGTGTGAAAGAAGACAGAAGGCTTAAAGTTGTTTAGGATTAATTGCTCAGAAAGGTTTCTTGCCCATGTGACTGTCCTGGAGGTCCTGGAGAATCAAACTGAGCAACTGCTGACCCCCACCCACTTCACCCACAACTATATTGATACCGACTGAGTTAAATCAGGAAGAGAACTCTGGAATCAGATAGCTAGTCTAGTACCTGGTAGATGACACAATGACCTGGACAAGTTGTATCTGATTCACACCCTGCTGGAGTAGCTAGATGGGGCCTAAGAAAGATCCTAACTGCTCAGAGTTACCCTCCATATTAAGGGCGGAAAAAACCCACAAGATTACTACCCTTATGGCCATCTTGCCCCCACTCCTGGGACATTGAAATTATCATGACTGTATTCAAAAGACTGTTGGAAAGTGGCAGTGTAATAATAGTATTCTCAAGACAGTGCTCTCAAGTCTTGTCGAAATTACTAGCTACTCTGGGTAATTAAAACAATTATAATTGTTTGTTTCCACGTAATGCTTTAGCACTAAAATCCATGTGTGTATTATGCACAACCAGGTTCTAAATGGTACTTGGAATTTTCTTCTGCACTTGAAATTGATTTCAAGTGTATCTAGTGATATGAGATACCCAGGACAGAACAGAAACCATTAGATGCCATGTACTTCAAGTCCATTGTTTTACAAGTGAGAAGATATACAAGCCTATCATTCTGTCAGAGCAGGTAAGACACTTGCCTAAGGTCTTATAGCAGGTTAATGTCAATAGCAGACCTAGAAATTGAATCCAGGTCTTCTGGCCTCCAATAACAATCTCACTTCATTGCACCACTGTTCTTACATGTAAAGAGGAAACTATTAAAACATCTAGGTGTATGAAAAATAAGAAATCGAAAAAACACTTCAAACTTGTTCTCTGAAAAATAATAATAATAGAGGGGATGGCAGGTGGCATTGGGGTTAAGGGCTCTCGATTCCCACGTAGCTGAGGGCACTTTGGATCCTGGACCTGGCATCTTGCTTTCTTCCTTCCCCTTTCTCTCTTCCTCTGTATCTCTGATCAAATTAAAAAATAATAATAGCAAATGGAATTAAATAAATAAATAATTCTTTTAAAAAATAATAGTAATAGGGAACAAGTGTGTGTTTGTGTGTGTGTGTGTGTGTGTGTGTGTGTGTGTGTGAGAGAGAGAGAGAGAGAGAATCACCCTTGACAGAATCCTATCACACCACAATTCTCTTTCCCCAGCACTCCAGCTCCTCAGGATCTTGGGTGCCAGCATGAGCACCCAGAGTTCACATTTGTTCCTCTGAAGCCCTTTTTCTTTTCATCTCTCTCTTTATTTCCTGATTCTATTGTATTTTTCTTACATTTGGACTGCATTGTTGACTCACTTTTTCCCCCCACACTTGTTCCCCATTCTTGTCTCCTTTTTCCTGGAACTAGCTTTGCTCATGTAAAAAGAGCACTCTCCATGCTGCCCAGCAGGGCTTCGAGCAGGTTGGAGGCCACTCTGTTCTGACAGGCTGTGAATTTCACAGCAACTCTATAAAGAAGTCATTAAGGAATAATGCTTTTTTAAAATGTCTACTTAATAAGAGGCCACGGAAGCCAGCACATTAGGGTGACTGGAAAATCTGTGTTGACTGAACCGAAAATCTTTTTAAATATATTCAGGAAACAATTGCAAAGTAAGTGGAAAGGGAAGTAACATGTGGTGTTCAGGGATCTATGAGAAAGTAATGTTTCAATGTATAAAATGTATGCCTTGCTGTTAAAATCTGAGTGATGGAGTTACACTTGAATTTTAGTTTCTTCTTTTTGCTTACAAGAAATTTTTATCCTATTTATAATGAACTTAGGTTCTATAGTTTTCTTGAAGATGGCCATAAACACACACACACACACACACACACACACACACACACACACACACATCTAAGGGCTTCTAAATGATTAGCAAAATGAAAGGTTATTTGAGCTATTGTACGAGCTGTCATGAAGTTTCTCGTCCCCTACCTTTTCAACACCCTTATGTCAGCCAGGTGTGCATACTTGTTAGTACCTGTGGACCACACTTAGGGACCAGGTCTGCTTGGGAACAGGAAGTCTATAAGGGGCCCCTGACTCCGTCTCCACTTGGCTTCTTGCCACATTCTACCCTTGGGGCAGTTATTTTGGACCTGTTGGTTCACTTCTCTTTCTCTAGCCAGTCATATGCTTGTTCCTGACTCTTATTCACCAAGTCACTTCACTTGACTTCCTAAAGTTTGGTACTACACTTGGCTCAGATTATGTTAGACTCCACTTAACTTTGATCTCCTCTTCATTGATGCCACATTTGTTATGCACACAGTTGGAGCTTCACAAATACTTGCTAAACCTGTAGTTTAGCAGCATAACTTCTCTCCTGGGCCTGCTTGCAGCTTTCTACCCCTTTCTTTGTAGCCTGCCCTGGCAAGTGGCCATTCAAATTCTGAGGGCTAACTCACCCATGTGAGCCTTCGAGTGACTAGGACTCCACAATCTGAAGCCTATCAGTTACATAGTCTTCTCAGTCTTGCTTGATCTGGCACTGGCTTCAGATATGGAGACTTCTGCCATGCTTCCTCCTCAAGGCTATTTGAATATGGTGGCTTTATTGTTAAGCTATACAACAGAACTTGGAAGAGTTGTCTGGGATTCTCTAATTATTTCTAGGAACAAGCATGACCAAGTCCGGAACATTTCTAATTCATATACTTCTTCGAAATACTTCTTTAAAAGACTCTAACACACAAGAAAGAAAGAGGAAGCATGGTTTAATTTGCATAATGTAGAATTTTGGGGAATCTGAGAAAGGGAGAAAAGGGTGGTGGCAGGATTTAAAACTGATTAGAAATCTTTAGTGGGAAACTGAGTCCCAAGAGATACTAACCTTGGTGTCTTAAAAATAGTTATACACTGAAATATTAGAGGATATAGAAGCATGAAAAATGGTTATGCATACTGCAGACAGTGTGGGAAGATGGTAAGAGATAGGGAGAGTGAAAGGAAAGAAATCAAAGAGAAAAATAGAGAAGGAAGACATTTAGGGGACACAGAAATGGAGGAGTGTCTGTTGATGATAATATGTATGATATCTTCCACTGGACTGGTGTGAAATGTATTCATATTGGGTAATTCATTTTACAAGCTGTAGTGATGTACAATGATCAAATGTATAAAATGAATTAGAATAATAATAAAAATAAATTAGAATAGTTACACACTCCCAATGCCAACTCTTTCAGTACAGTACAAGTGTGGTCAAATTTCTTTATTATTATTATTATTTTTGCTATGGAATGTGTGCATATAAGCAGGCAAAAAAAGGAAAAGAAAGAGAGAAATCTGTCCCCATTGGGGCCTGGTCATGTTGTAATCCCTTTTCCCTCCCTTTCTCCATTCTGTCAGGATCTTGGGCAAGCACACACCAACCAGTGTCATTTTCAAGCTGCCATGTCTGGTATTCTAACCGCAGTAGGACATGTGGAATCCGGCTCTCTCTACACAGTGCTTACCACCCCCTCTCTCATTTTAATTGCTTAGGTGGAATTATTTGTACAGAAGGATCTGGTTAAGCTGACTCATTGCTATTTATAAAGAAAACCAAAGATATTCCTCTCTTTTGAATGTCGAATTTGACATTTGCCTTTCCCAATTTAGGAAGCTCTAATCTGCATTCCTCCAAATGCAGAAACAAATGAACATGTTAGAGTAGCATCCACAGAGATTTGAGGAGCTTTTGTAGACTATAAGGAGTAGAGGTGATTTCTCCTTTGTTATACTTTGGGGAAGACTGAAGCAGGGCATTTTGTATTTCCAGCAACCCCATTACAAATAGTCAGTGAAGGCTTAGTGTTTATATGCCTTGTTGTGTAGGACTGGTTCTGGGAAAAATTGCTACTGTAACACTAGAAATGTTTGTGCCACATCCCTCCTGATTTAAGACTTGACTTTCTTGAATACTTTGCCATCTCACTGATGTTTTATCAGCTAACTCAATGAAGTAGGGATGAGTAGTTGAGAGCAGAGTTGGCAGCTGATCACAAGAACAGAATCCATACTTTCATTGATTCAACAGATATTTATTGGCTATCTACTATGTTTCAGGTAAAGCACTAACTACTCAACAGACATTTCTTGCGTTCAGAGAATGATCAGAATTGCCTGCATCCTTTTGAACTCAAAACCCCACCCAGTGAGCTTCAAAGAACAAACTTTCCTTTTGGCATCATATGATCCTCAGATGCCACACATCTTTCTAACCTTGTCCATTTCTCTGAACTTTTCCTGTTTTCCATCTGTCCCATGAAAGCTCCCTAACAGCTCTTGAAGGTCTTGCTTTTCCCAAATATGTTTTTTCTGGCAACCATTGGTCCTGTTTTCTGCATCACCATTCCCAACACACACACACAATCTGTTCAAGATGTAAACCATCCTGATAACTCCAACATGGTGGCTCTTGAAGGACGAGTGTTAAAGAATGGATAATGTGGTCAAGTGCATGGGCAGTTAGCCTAGACTGCCCCAGTCAAATCTTGGTCCAACACTTAATACTCTGACTTTGGGAAAGTCGCTTCACCTCTCTTTCTAGTTTGCTCATTTGTTAAATGAGAGTATTGATAGCACCTACTTAATTGAGGATTTGATTGAACTAATACCTGTAAAATATTTAGCCCCGTGTCTGCCACATAATGACCATTTTTTGGACATATATTAGCTGTTACCATTACTATTTAGGGTGGATTTGGAATTGTGGATTAGTTATTAGCTGTTACCATTACTATTTAGGGTGGAATGGGAATTGTGGATTTGAATGCAATGGGGTTGATATTTTGAGGTAGATGCATGGAACGTCTACATATCACAGAACATGGCTGTGAGCAGTTTGGGAAGTCTGGCCCTGCTATTTTGAGAGGAATCACCTATTCTATTGCTTATGCAAAAAGTGGACCTTATATAGCAACCATTATTTATTTATGATTTTGTTTTATTTATATATTGTAGAAAGAGATACCTTCAACTGGGTCTTGCCACACTGTGATTCTTCTCCCAGTCTCTTAACTAGCCAGGATCTGGGTGCACCCAGCATGTTCAAGTGAATCAGAGATCCAAACCGGGCCCCTCACATGGCCCCAGAATCATGCAGCAGCACCCTACCACCTGACCTGACACAGGTGGGCCCTAGTATTTATTATTTTTAATGAAAAAAATTATATTTATTTACAACATACAACAGGATGATTTAAAATGTGTATACATTGTGCAATGACTAAAGCAAGCTAACTATGCATTGATGTATAGCAATTTAATATATAAAATAATAATAAATAAATAAATATGTGCATTATCTCACATACTTATATGTAGCTATTTTTTTTTAATGGAGAGCTCATTTTACTGGTTTGTTTTTGGTCTTCTTACAACAGAAATAAATATTTATTTAAAAATCAAAGAGAAGAACAGAAAAGTAATTAAGAAATAAAGTGCTTGTAATCCCACCCTTCAAGAGACAGTCAGCCTAAGGATCTTAGAATAAAGCTTTCCAAGTAATTCCCAACACTTGTGATATTGTAATACTCTTCGGCAACTTAATTTTTTAAAGCACTCAGTACTATATTATGAATATCATTCCTAGTACTGTGTAGGAAACCATCTCTTTGGTTATGGAAGTTGTTTTCTCCTTTTAGCGATTGCAAACAATAAGATAAACATCTGAGCACACAAAGATGTACATATATCTCTACACATAACCTGATCAATCACCTAAGGATACATGTTTCCATACATCATATTTCCACACCTTATTTAGAGTGCGTGGTTGGTTGGTTGGTTGGTTGTCATATTTATGTTTGAGATTTTTAATTAAATACTAAAATCTTTAATAATTATTTTATGTAAATTGTGTGTATGTGTGCTTTAACACTGTTTATTAGAGAGAGCCCATCCTCTACGCAATGGGGAACTAATGTCAAAGGAAATTAGGGACTGTACATAACAGAAAACCCTTACATTTTTCTTACTGCCATTATATAATCAATACATAATATTTAAGCAAAATACAATCTTTATTAAGCAAACATTTTTGCATACACTGCCTTCTCTTTGTCTTTCTGTGCCTTTATCTTTTGTTTGACTTTCAGCAGTTCAACCCGAATAGCTTTATCTTCTGGTGCTACCTCCTGAGCTTTCTTCAGATCAGCCAATGCGTGATCGTACTTTTTAATCCCTGCCATCCTTGTGCTCTGCGGTACAGGGCTTTGGTATTTGACGGGTCCATTTCAAGATCCTCCTAGCAGCTGTTGACTGCTGCCTGCCAGTTTGCCAATCTTCAGCTTGCACGCACCAATGTTCAGAACACAGCTTAAGGTCACAGGCTGCAGCCAGGGTTCATCCACATTCCTGATGGGGCCTTTAGGCCCTCCACATGTCTTAAGACTTGAGCATATTTTTTAATGGCCATCTCCCAGTTCTGGGATTTGAGAAATGTATTTCCAATATTTTTGAGTCTTTCACAATTAATAAAACTTTATATCTTTCACATCTATGTCCACATACTCCAGGAAGTCGGGGTGACTGTCACCAGAGCCATCCTTCCGGACTATCCCCTCATCCCTCTCCTTCAGTTCTCCATATTCTGCAATAATGTACAATTTGGCAGGTTTCTCATCTTTCACTTCTATGGTTTCCAGGATCCTCGCCACCCCCATCCCTTTAACCACTTGGCTGAACACCATGTGTTTCCTGTTCAGGTGAGGGGTCGACACCATCGTGATGAAAAATTGGGAGCTGTTCTTGTGGCGACCTGCATTTGCCATGCTCAGCAAGCCCTCCTGGTTGTGCTTATAATGAAAATTTTCATCTTCAAATTTTTCACCATAAATGCTTTCTGCACCTGTCCCATTCAGGTCTCCACCTTGAATCATAAATTTCTTGATAATTTGATGGAAAGGGCATCTTTTGAAATGGACAGATTTCCCAGTCATGGATCCCAGGCCTTTTTCTCCTGTACACAATGTGTGAAAATTTTCTGCAGTTTTGGTACAATATCTGCAAATAATTTTAAGACAATTCGATCGACTTTCTCCCTGCCGATGTCCATGTCCATGTCCAGGAAGACTCAGGGGTTTCTGGGGCTGGAGGGCTTCGCCTGAGGGAACAGATGCAACATCTCCACTTGCAGATGTGCCTGGAAGCCCTACTTGGACACCACGTGGTCGTAGGCAGCTGCAGATCCACCCCCACAACATCACCCTCCTTGACCTGCCATCTGGGCCACTTCTGCCACTGGTGGACACCGTCTCCTGACTTCAGGAGCCGAACTCGTTTTGTATAAATTATTCATTAAATATTGAAATACGAATACAAACTGTGTGAAGGGTTCATGGCAGTGTTCGCCCTTGCTGGGTAAAGCAGTGAAAAGATTTTATGAGCCCGAAAGGGGTATCATAATTCTAGAGGCAAGGTCCAGATGTGACACAGCAGTAGAGCTCTGTAAGGTCCAGATGTGACACAGCAGTAGAGCTCTGTTTGCATCTGGAGACCTTCCTGGGTATGCCGACACACCTATGCACGTGATCTGGGCTGGCTGGGTGTGGGTCATGGCATCAGAATCCTGTCAGGGTGATGTATCTTTCTCTCATGCTATTAATAAATGCACTTTAAAAGAAAAACTTTTTGGGAAAATAGAATTAAAGAACCTGTTCATAAACAAACAAATAAAAGCATGATACATTCTGAAGGCAGCAGTCTGTAGGAGAGTGAGTTGGGGCTCTAGAGTCAACACACATACTTTTAATTCCTGACTCAAATACTTACTTTCAGTCGTGTGACCTTAGGCTCCTAGTTAACCTTGTTGAACCTTAACTTTTTCAGTGAAAAATCCCTTTTCTGATTTGGCTCCTGCTTGTCTCTCCTGTCTCGTCTCAATCTTTCACCATTTTCTCAGCCCTCAATTTAACTATTTTTTTTTATTTATTTATATTTTTAGGAATTTGCCATAGGGCATGAGCACTCCCCAGAGAGAGACAGAGAGGGGGAAAGTGAGAAATCATCCTTGAGGGGGGAGGGGTGATAATCATGCAAAATTCCTTTTCTTCCATTCTCTTCTGGGGTTTTGGGCATGTATGCACAGGTGCCTGGCATGAGTTTCAAGACACCAGGTGTGAGACTTGAACCTTGGTTGGCCATGTGGGAGTCCAGCGCCTTTACCATCATGCCACCTATTGGCCTCTGCCCTCAATTTTAGGATCCAATCATATTGAACCACTACTCAGGCCTTTCCCTGCTTCTCCCTTTGAACCAATCTTCAGCTCTGCTCCCTTCATCCCCCCAACTCCACAACACATACCTCAATAATTAGTACTGGTTATTTAGGGCTCAGGTTGGACATCACCACCCCTAGGAAATCCTTCCAGGGACTAGCAGTTAGCATAATGGCTATGTCACTGGACTCCCATGTAGTCGACCACAGTTCGACTCCCATACCCAGTGACTTAAAACTCACGCCAGGCACGTGTGCCTGCGTGCCCATGATCCCGAGAGGAGAATGGAGGAGAAGGGATTGTGGCATGGCCATACCCCCTGGGGGATGATTTCTTGCTTTCTGTCTCTCTGTCTCTCTCTGTCTTTCTGGGGAGCATACATGCCCTATGGCAAAAATCTCTAAAAAAAAATAGAAAGAAAGAAAAAAAGAAAATCCTTCCAGACTGTCTCTTCCCTACCCACACTTGAATCTGGGTCAGGTGCCCTTCTTTAGTTGTGCCAGAAAAAAAAAATCTATCTTTTGTGTACATCACTTGGTAATTCACATACCTGTTTACATTTCTGATTCTTCTCCTAGCCTATGCACTCTGGGAGGTTGAGTTATTTCTTAGTCGTCTCTACACCCGCAATAGCAGTGAGGGCCCCCAAGTACTTTCTAAATGAGTGATGAACAAATGAAGGAGCATAATCATACCTATTTCACACACTTATTAACCAATAATTGAATGAAATAATATAAGTGGACATTTCTGGAATATAATTGGGCCAGAAAAATGGTATCTCACAACATTTAAGGTAATTGGCAGTAACTTTGTGACAGATCTCTTGCAATCACTTAAAATGATCTCAGTGTGAAGATCTGGAGAACCTTTGTCTTTGTTTCAGTTTTGAAAGGTGAATTTCATCATCATAGAAGGAATCTCAGAGGACAAAGGACTGCTTGTTTAAGACAGCTAAACCCAGCGATTAGTGGTGAGGCGCCATGCCTAAGTGCTTCCAGGGCCTGGGGTCAGCTCACTGAAACAGACCTCCCCTTTCTGGCCCCACACCTTGGACCCAGAAGAGAAGGAAGAAGTGGATAAATGGGAAGAGAGAAAATAAATAAGGGGCTGGAATAAGATTCTGTGGGGGTAATAATTGTAGCTTTTGTACAGCAGCTGTGTTTAGAACCA